CCCTGGGTCACACACGGACAGTCCACATGTCAACCCTGGCAGCCCCAAAGTGCCTGACCGGACCTACCCATTGGAGGTGAGAGTGTCCCCACCTTAAGTCAGCTGAGTAGCAGCCTTTATTGCATCTGCAAGCTAAACCAACTGCTATCATGCAAAGGAACATATAAGCCAACTGCAGGGATTAGGACGTGGACATTTTGGGGCATGATTACTGTGCCCACTGTAGCCAGCGCTCTCTTCAAGGCTCACCTACTCTAAATTCTTTGTTTGTGCCAGTCTCCCCCAATAGTCCAGAGAAAGCAGTAGACCTGGGGCTGGTGCTGGTGGGGTGTGGGTGTGATAGGGAGGGAGCATCTTCCCTGGATTTGGACAGGCAGCAGAACCAGGCAGGATGGGGCCTAGGGCTCTCCAAGGCTGAAGGGGAAAGGCAACAGGGGTGCACTGAGTGAGGCCGGGCTTCTGCATTCCTCGTACCCCCTGGGGCCCAGATGGATTTCTTTAACCTATGCCTCAGGCCCTGCCACAGATTTCCCACTGGAACTGGAAGACTTGGGGCTGAGCCACGGCCTGAGATGTCTATGTTTCCAGCAACATTATAATGAGGTAGTTGGTCTGAACTGTGTGCTCAGAGGAGGGAAGGGAGATTGGTAAAAAGTGAACGAGGGGTTGTGTTCACGCCCTTACACCTCCACTTCCATGAGCTTCTCCACTTCCTCACCCTGGTGACCACAGTCCCGGGCCCCTCTCTGCCCAAGGTTGGTGCTGATGCTGGTGCTGGACTTCTCCCTGGGCACAACTTACCTACATGTCTCGGTGGGCAGAGACCTCAGGTGGATGATCTCTGCCAAATTTACTCACTCGGACAGAGACGTAATAACCACACTTGCCATAGAGCATGATGGGCCCATTTCCACTCAACAGTATAGAGAGGCTCAGGCTGAAGGTGAGGGTGGTCAGCTGGCTAGGGCAGGGAGGATGTGAAAACACAAAGGACTCCACCATCCTTCTCTAGCTTCCAGGGTGCAGTCTGACCCAGGTTGGCACCAAACAGATGCGTCTCTTGACCTCCAGCCCAGAGACTAGCCTGTCTCCTGTGTTCCCTGTACCTTCCCTCCTGCTCCCCAGCTCACTGGGTCCAGGCTTCATGCCCAAGCCCCTTATTGAATCCAAAGAAGGAAAAGGGAAAGTGTTGGCGCCTGAGTCTCAGAGGTGAGAGCTAAAGAGGAGAGGAGGACTGTGTGCAGCTTCCAGCGTGCAATGTGGGACTGGGGCAGGAGTGGGGATGGTACGGGCAGTAGGGACTCCACTGAGAGGGCAGAGCCTGGAAAGGGGGAGATGAGGGCACCTGTGCCTGTTTCCACCTGCTGAACTACACATGCACCCAAGGTCACCAATGGCAAGTCAGGGGAGGGATTGAGGGTGCTCCAACAGGAAGAGAGAGTGGTCAGGGTAAGTAGGACAATGAGTCCATTGCGGCAAGGAGGATGGGTTGGAGCTCTGTGGGGGGGGTCACGAGTTCCTTCCACCAGGGAGGCAGAGTGTCATCAATGGATGGGAACCGGCAAATCCCAGAAGAGGGTGTTTAGAGAACTAGAAGAGGGCCTTTAGGGGAATGGGAGGATGTGCCAATGTGGCCAGACAAGGCCCTCAGTGAACCCAGACCGGTGGCACTCTGCTGCCCTGCTGGCCTGGATGGTGGCAGAGGCTGACCCAGAGTCCCCATCACAGGATGCCAGAGGTACTGTTCTGCAACAGGATCTGATATGGAGTGGCTCCCCACCAGGCCTTGCCCCACTCCCCCAACCCCTAACCCCAGAGAGAGGGCAGAACACAGAACATGACAAGTCCTTTAATCAAAAACTGCTGTGAGACTGGGGCAGAGAGGGGGCAAATCAAGGGGCAGAGGATGCCCTGGCGGAGGCAGAAGAAGAGGCAACACGCTTGTCCACAGCTCGCCGGCCCTGGAGGTCACAGCTGCTCCTCTTGCAGAAAGATGTTGGGCTCAACCTGCAAAAGAGCAGACTCAAGGAACAGCCTCAAGGCAGGGCCAGCCCACAACCCTGCTCAACAACCAGGACTGTGGGAAGGGGTATGTTTTGTGTAACACTCACTTCAAAGGATCTGGAACTTGTCAGCGAGGTGCTGCATGGCGGCTGCAACAGGGAGAGGCATAAGAAGGTGCTCCACACAGAGGGATATATAAGCCTGCCCCCTTGTCCCTGTTTGGAACCACCTAGCCCCAAACCTGAAACCCACCCCACTAGCCCCAAAGCAAAGAGCTCTGGGCCTGATCATTCCCCACCACCTGAGTTAAATGTGAAGCTATTTCCTAAAACGAACGAAAATGTGCCAGCAGCTCTCAAGTTAAAAAATTGTCTCGCAAACAAGCAATCTAATAAGAACACTAGATGCCACACCAAGCAGCAGTTAAAGGGAAAAATCAGCATGGCATCTCTACAAGTCCTATCAGAAGGAGCTCTCTAGGACTCATCTGTCGAGCAGAGTGTCCATGCAGTCCACACAGTACTTTGCTACTTGTCTGCATGCCCAGCTAAACATGCACCACATGCTGCAGGGACAGGCTTGATAGGTTCTCCTCCCCACAGGAATTCTGATCCCTATGAAGTCCCCTGCACCTGCAGCCCACCCCAGCCCAAGTGCACATCCCGCTTCTGCACTAAGAACCCGCTGCTCTCTGTCCCTGGTTCCTGATACTGTATTGCTCTTTAAGGTCATCCATTTCTCTCTGTAGCACCAGACACTAGGCCAGTAGACATGGGAGGAAGAGAAAAGGTTAGTATACACTGCCCTCCCATTGCCTCCTTTTTCTCCTCTCCCCAGGGCCATCCATACCAAAGCCAGATGTCTAGAATGGCAAGGGAAAGACTTTTCTCAGTGGACAGGAGGTGGGCTCCTTCTGAGGGGTGTGGGATGGGGACGAGGCGGGGAGGCCCACACATTTCAGTTGCACTTGGATCCAGATTCCACCATGAGGACTGGGTGTGCATTTCAGGAGCCAGAGGAAGCATTACCCGAGGACAGTCCAGCATTCCCGGTGGCTGCTGCTTCCTTTCCCGTCTTGGGGAATGGTCAGTTGGTTCCTGGTCACCTGAGAGGGAAAGGGCACACAATCCAGCTTCCCAGGCTCCTAGTGAAGTGGAAAGGGTCAACCAGACTCTAACGCGAGGTGAGGCAGCACCTCGATCTGCTGGCAACAAGCCTCCCGTGCTCTGCCTGGCAGGCTAGACCTTCTCTATGGGCCTGCCTCCCCTGTCCCCAAAGGGCAGCATTTTCACCACTGCGGTCCCCAAAGACTGTGGTTCTGGGTTCGAGCCTCTCAGAGCTGCAGCCACAGCCAGCACCTGGGAGAGCAATGTGGGTGAAGAGCACTTCACAGAAAAGGCTATTAGCCTGCAGGTCTACGCCCAGAGTAGCTGTTGGGGCACTGCCACCGATCGCCCCTGCCAAACAAATCCCACATAGAAGGTGATGGGGCCAGGGCCAGCCCTGTTGACACCCTGTTTCCCATGGGAGAGGCAGCCTGAGAGCAAGGCTGAGCCCCCAGAAGAGAGAGAGAGAGAGATTCAGAGACAGAGGTTTCTGCCCTCACCTCTGGTCCCCTCCCCCCATATCAAAACCCAAGACACTTATCTGAGGGTTCAGGTCCTCTGGGCATGACTCCTCCCGGGTTCAGGGCCAAGGGCTCTGAGTTTCCTGGATCTTGGGGGTCTCTGATGTTGAGGTCAACACTGCTGGGTTCTCCATGATGTGCCCACGGAGAAGATGGCCATGCCCAGTGAGTAGGAAGCTAAAACAAAGATTTTTCACCAATCTGGACTAATGATGTGTGTGTGTGTGTGTGTATGCATGTTTGTGTGTACCAGTGCATTCATATGTCTGTGTCTGTGTCTGTGTGTGTTTGTGAGCAGGCGTGATTTGGGACTGGGCTGAGGCAGGGGAATGGGAAGAGAATTGAAAGGCTGATCTCTTTAGCACTTTCTCCATCAGTCAGCCCCAGGCCAGCAGGCAGAGCTGAGTGGGGGACAACAGTGCAGCACTGAGAAAGCCCAGGCCCCTTGAAAGAAGGTTTGGGGAACAGCTAAGAAGTTGGATTCAGGAAAGTCATTCATCTAAACACTGAAGCTCTGTGAAGCTTTTAAGGGGTCCCCTTGACACAATTAAGCTACCAACCCTCCCTTCCTCTCTAGTCCCAGCCTCGCGGAGACTGGAAACAGTCCAAGGGTGGAAAACCGAGCCCAGCACACCCAAAGTGCTACTTTAACGTTTGTCCCTAGTAAAAGGACCCCAATCTGACATCCTAATGACCCACTGACCAAGGGGCACCCAATGACGACCCCTGAGGGACGGACAGAGGGAGGGTGGGAGGGAGAAGAGTGGGGAGAGAGGAGGGGCCTGGCCTACTCGCTTGGCCCTTTGTGACTGGGTCGTTGTCTTCTCCCACCACCGCCATCGCTGACACGGCCTCCCGTGCCCTCCTGGCCACAGATTTCGCCCCAGCACCCGTGTGCTTGGACTCTCTGGTTCCCAAAGGGGCCAAGGGATACCTCTTGGACCTCCCAAGCAGCGGAATGGCAGAGACTGGGGGCAACGGGGACGGTTCCAGGGGAGTGGCCGAGGTTCGCTGCTCCCAGGAAGGGAAGGTTCTCCCCAGGGCAGGTTTGGAGATGCCCCCGAGGGATTTCTTCTCCTGGTCTCTCTTCCTCCTAGGAGTGACGCGTGGCAGGCTGCTGGTAGTGGCAGCTGCAGTAGCTGCTGCTACTGGTACTCCCTGGTAGCTCGGCTGGCAGCCACCCTTCCCCCAGAGCTCGCTCTGCATTTCTTAGGTGGGAAGACGTTCAGCTCTGCATCGCCCTGCCTGTCCTGCCTTTCCACAACCGAAGTGAACCCTCGCAGAACGGAGGACAGGAACGGGCCTGGCAGGTTAAGAAGGAGATTCTCCCTGCCTTAGACAGTCGAGTGTCTGGGCGTGTTCCTAGGACCCTTGAGGCTGTTGAGCTTGGCTTGGCCTCCTTCTTTGGGATAAATGCTCACCCTCATCAGCTCTCTCTCACTGAACTCATCAGAGGACTCGGAGTCAGACAGCAGCCCAAACGAGCCTTCTGAGGGGGGCTGCTGGTGATCTGCAGCCACGTTCAACCTACTCTTAGTGCATCTCTTAGGGTTCCCCCAGGCCCGGCCCGCCTCAGCCCCACCGACCTGGAGAGGGCCGGCCGCAGCCAGCACCGCTGCCCCACAACTCTGGGGGACCGTGCCTCGACCACTGGGACCCGCCTCGAGGTCGGCCCACAAGGAGGACACATCGGTGATCACATAGCTCTCCAGGGACAGGTATCTGCGGACGCCCAGTATGTCCAGGTCACTCAGTTGCCGCAGGAATGCCCGCCACCGACTCGTCAGCCAGCTGCAGGGCGTCCCCTTTGTTTTTCGGCCAGGGAACCAAGCTGGTCTTCGCAGCCCCACAGCACCGGCCCCCCCCGCTTCCAGCACCTCCCACTCTGAGTTGAATCCCTCAGGGTTTGGGTACCCATCTCCACCCTCACCCTCGCCGCTTCGCGATGTCCTCACCTTGGAGCCCAGTCCAGGTCCCTGCGGGGCCGCGGAGCCGGCCCGAGGGATGCAGGTCTGCTCCCTGCCCTCTGGGCAGAAACCCGCTCCCCAAACTGACACCTCATCATCCGGGGAGCTCATGTAGCCATCTGGGTGGCCCCCGGACCTGGGGCGGTGATGATTTATCAACCCAGTTGTGGTGGCGGTGGTGGTGGTGGAAGGTGAGGCCAGTGACGTCTGGAACGAGTGGTCAAGCACCACATGCACCGCACACACAAGATTGTGGCAAACCGCCCCAGGCTTTCAGCAAGCCTGGGACGCCCCAGCCATGGCCTCCTTATTGGTCCGGTTCCTACCAACCAGCGTGCGCCTTGTTTGCCCGGCCCCTCGAGGAGTAACCAATGGGGCCAAAGGCCTCCTCCAGTTTGCTGCCGAGCCCAAGGGTCATCAGGGCAGTTGATGTGTTGGCGGATGAAGGTGATAGTATGAGTACCTCTGTCAAGCCTCTCGTCCCACCTCCTCCTGTCCTGCCTTCCCTTTCCGGTTAGAGTCACAGCCCTGAGCCCTGACTGTGTACAAAATGGGTGGAGTGGGAGGCAGGAGGGTCCTGAGGGCCGTGGTCTCCTGGGAGGTGAGGATGAAACGTCAGAATGGAGACGCTGGGCACTTAGAACGTGCTGAAAGCATTTGCCAGCCTCCCTTCCACCACAAGCCTCACGACCCAATGAGAGACTGGGCAGAGGAATCTCACAGTCAGTAATCAGTGGTCGGCATATTTCTCTATACGTGGCCAGAGGGCAAAGGGATCCTGTTTTTGTTCTGCAAGCAATCTGCCTCATCTGCTTCCATCAAATATTCTTGGCAGTCAGATTTGGGGGACAGACTGTGGTTGACCTCACTCCCTCAGCTCTTTCCCCACTCTGAGGCAATTCAAAGGATAGAGAGTCTCAATGTCCAGTTACACCCACAAAGATGCTCACCACCGCTGATCCTGGAGATGTAAACTAAAACCATGAATCGGGTTTCACACTCTAGGATGACAAGCTTCCAAGGGCTTAACCATTCTGAGAGTGGGAGAGGTTAGAAGCAAACCCCTGTGACAGTGGGCACCACTGTCTTGCACAGAGATCCATTTGGGAGGTAATTTGGCAAAATCTATGAAAAGCAACTTATACAGTAGGGCCCCTGTGTGTGGTACTCTTCTAAGTGCTGTACATAAATAGTAATGCTTCCTTGTGACGCTCCTAGGACTATAGTACCAATGATTACTAGCCTCTCACAGGTGAGGAAACAGGTTCCGAGAGGTTCAGCCACTGGCCCAAGGGCATTTGGCCCGTGCAGATCAGTGGCAGAATTGAAACCAAGCTATATGACTCCAGAGTCCTTGCTTTGAGCCAAAGGTCTTAAATTTTGGGGGAAAAAAAAAAAGCAACTATTTTTTCTCTGTTCCAGGAAGTCCACTACCTGGTACATCTTCTGGAGACACGCTGGTACTTGCAGTGTACAAAAACACATGCACAGTGGTGTTGGTGATGGGAAAAACTGAGAACACTCCCAATTCTCCTCAGTAAGCAAAGGGATCAATGCAACATGGTGCAGCATCCAGTAGATACAAGTGTGGCAGTCCAAAAGAATGGATCAGGCCATTATCATCAATTTCAAAAGCATCCCCCTGACTTCATACTGCAAGTTGCAGGATGATGGTGTTGGATACATGTTTTTAAATTTATTAAAACCCCAAATGAATCCTATCTAATGTTTGATAGCCTTTGAGTGTATGTATGTTTCAGGTTCTGAAGTGTGTTTTTCACTGGCTGGGAAATACATTGGATAGCTCCTAACTGGATCCAGTAGGTGTATGGGACAAAGTTTTGACCTTGGATCTCCCCAGGTTGGTTAGGAATGTGTACAGTAAGTTTCCTTTAAGCTCAACGTTGCCTACAGGTACCCTGAAAGCAGCCGTTCTCAGTCTGCCTTCAATGTGGGCATGCTGGGTTCAATCAGTTCTCCAATGGTATGATTATTTGGCCACAATATTTATTCCTTCAGCTGGAATAGAAGATATCACTAACCGTATAGAAACTTTAACAAAATTCACCCAGGAAACCTTTAATGATAGTAACCAAGCCATTAGTTTGCTCAATTCAGAAATTTCCATGATGAGAAAAGCAGTCCTGCAGAATGCATGGTCCTCAGTATTCTAACAGCTTCCCAAGGGGGACCTTATACTATAACACATAGTGAATGCTGTATTTTTATACCTGATGAGTCTTCTAATGCAACCCCCTTTATCATGTATATGAAAAGTCACATTTCCACTCTGAATGATCCTCTTCCCAGTTTAAGGGAAATGCTAGGAAAATGGTTTGGTTGAAGAGGGTACTAGCTTCAATCTTTACTAATGATATCCTCCTGTTTATTGGCAACTTTGATTACAGTTTGTGTATCTTATAAAGTGATAGTGTCTTGATTTTTGCACTGTGTATCACCTGTTCCTAGTAAAATAATGATATCTAAAGAACTTGAAACTATTGATCATATCTATAGTTCTCTTTAAAGTAATGCATGCACATGTATGTTAAAATTGGGGTAGTCCTACTGGACAACTTGGAGTTGACTTTTGTTCCTTGCCAGATATCTTGACTATTACTACCCTCTAAAAGGAAACAGAGAGCTGGGCCTAGGACCCAACAGGGAGGGACATGGTGGACCCAGGGCAAGTGAAGAACCAATTGAGAGACGAAATACTTGATCACCTAATGCTTTCTATTGAAAGATTAATGATCAAAAGGAGACTTGATGAAATAAAATTAATTAAAGTACACACGCATGCACGCACACACCAGTCAGCCCCACTACATGTTTGAGAATCATATAATCTATGTACAAGTATGTTTTCTTTTCATTCCAGTCCCAAAAAAAGGCAATGCCAGAGAATGTTTAAACTACTGCACAATTGCACTCAATTCACACATTCGCAAAATAATGCTCAAAATTCTCAAAGCGAGGCTTCAATGGTACACAAGTGAGAACTTCCAGGTGTTCAAGCTGGATTTAGAAAAGGCAGAAGAACCAGACATCAAATTGCCAACGTTCATTGGATCATAGAAAAAGCAAGAGAATTCCAGAAAAACACCTACATCTGTTTAATTGGAAAATTCTTAAAGAGATGGTAATACCTTACCACCTTACCTGCCTCCTGAGAAAGGTCTATTTAGATGAAGAAACAACAGTTAGAACTGGACATGGAACAATGGATTGTTATCAAATTGGGAAAGGAGTAAATCAAGGCTGTATATCATCACCCTGCTTAGTTAACTTAAATGCAGAGTACATTATGTGAAATGCCAGGCTGGATTAAGCACAACCTGGAATCAATATTGCCAGGATATTTATTAATAACCTCAGATATGCAGATGACACCACACTTATGGCAGAAAGTGAAGAGGAACTAAAGAGCCTCCTGATGAAGGGGAAAGAGGAGGGTGAAAAAGCTGGCTTAAAACTCAACATTTAAAAAGCTAAGATCATGGCATCCAGTCCCATCACTTCATGTCAAAAAAAAGATGGGAGAAATGTTGTGAAGTAATTAGCCTCCAACTAATAAAAATAAATGAAAAAAAAAAGCAAAAAAAAAAAAAGATGGGGAAACAACAGAAACAGTGACAGACTTTATTTTCTTGGGCTCCAAAATCACTGCAGATGGTGAGTGCAACCATGAAATTAAAAGACACCTGCTACTTGAAGAAAAGCCATGAGACACCTAGACAGCATATTAAAAAGCAGATGACACTACTTTGCCAACAAAGGTCCGTCTAGTCAAAGCTATGGTTTTTTCAGTAGTCACGTATGGATGTGTGAGTTGGACCATAAAGAAGGGTGATTGCTGAAGAATTGATGCTTTTGAACTGTGGTGAAGCCTCTTGAGGGTCCTTTGGACTGCAAGGAGATTCATCCAGTCAATCCTAAAGAAAATCAGTCCCGAATATTCATTGGAAGGACTGATGCTGAAGCTGAAGCTCCAATACTTTGGCCACCTGTTGTGAAGAGCCGACTCTTTAGAAAAGACCCTGATGCTGGGAAAGATTGAATGTGGGAGGAGAAGGGAATGACAGGGGATGAGATGCTTGGATTGCATCACCGACTCGATGGACATGAGTTTGACCAAGCTCCGGGAGTGGGTGAAGGAAAAGGAAGCCTGGCATGCTGCAGTCCATGGGGTCGCAAAGAGTCAGACATGACTGAGTGACTGAACAACATGCAAGCGAACAAAAGTCCAGGACCAGATGACTTCACAGGCAAATTCTATCAGGCATTAAGGGAAGAGTCAATACCTATCCTTTTGAATCTATTCCAAACTCATTCTATCAGGCCACAGTCACCCTGATACCAAAAGCAAACAAAGATACCACCAAAAGAGAAAATTATAGGTCGCTATCACTGATGAACATAGGCAAAAAATCCTCAACAAAACAGTAGCAAATCTAATCCAACAATACATTAAAAGGACCATACAGTATGATCAAGTGGGATTTATCATATGATACAAGAATTTTTCAATATTCACAAATCCATAGGTCTCTATATGCAGAAAAAGTGTTTGAGAAAATCCAATAACCTTTTATGATTTAAATAAAAAGTTTACATTTCCTGAGGAAGGAGGCAAGTGGGCCTGAGTCTAGATATTTAAATCAGATTCCGGCTTTCACTTTGAAATAGAAATAACAACAGAAACAGGGTAGTCAGGCTTTGTCTCCTGACCTATGGCAGAGAAAGAGAGGGGCTACACCCTGTTTGAGTGAAAGATCAAGAGATCACATACTTCCCATCCTCAGGACAGGAGAGACACGGCACATGTGCAGAATGTGCCCCTTGGGGGTCAAAAAGAAAAGGGCACCACCTCGTAGTATGTGATGCCGTCTCCCCCATAGGTCTCTGGGCTGGCGCCCATCTTGGAATAGAGTAGTGCATGCATGTTGGGGAGGGTCCTAGGGCAAGTCAGATGTGGGAAAAGAAACCAGATAACTGGCCAAACATAACTAAGACCCAGAAGGACTGCCCTATATAAATGACTTAACTAACTCTTTACTGCACTCCTCCTCATCATGACGGATGCCCACACTGTTTCTCACCAAGTGTGT